AAAACGTGACTAAGATCGTGCTCAGCTTTTGTAAAAAAAAATCATTTAATCGGTTGTAAAATTGTTTTTAACCCAATAAAGTAACTTTCAATATAGGGGCCATGTTCTGAGCATAGGCCCTTTACTCATTACCTGCTAGGGTATTCAGATGTATCAGATTTGTAGTGAGTATTTTGACTCACCCTGTATTATAACTACTATGATTAATTCACCGTAGATGCATTATATGAAGAGCAGTAAACACAAATTTAGGGAAGACTGTGACAGAAGTAATGCACCATTTCTCTCCTGCAACAATCTAACCATGTAGCTGCTTTAGTGTGACAAAAACACTGCAAATTGTTTTCGCTGTGGGATGTAATTGTTTGTTTCACAAGATGAAAGGCAGACCGTAGGCGGATTGRGTCGGTTTACCTGGTGAGCAGAACGGCTACATCATGATGCAGAGGATGTTCGTCTCCTTTCATGTTGACTTTCTTCTGCCACTTGCAAAAGCTGTTCAAGCTGTTGTCGGCATGGTGTGTAATCTTCAGGTCATCCTGTTGGCCATTTATCACAAACAGACCCAAAAAAACAAAAACAAAAAAAGGAAAGAAAAACAAACTTTTAAAACACATATCCATCAATGGCAGCTAATTAATRACAAGAAAACCCCAGCTGGAAAGAAAAGTTGTAGTAAATGTTTTAGTTTTGGCTAAACTGCTGCATCCATTCAGTAACCCTCTGTGCCAGGCTTAAACTTGTGATTAATGTAATACTTTACATTAAGCTTGTTCGTTATGTAGCAAAGGACAYATAAAGTAATATCTCAGCAAACAGCACAAAATCAGTAAAAATGTGAACTGCAAAAATCAGAGCTTGAGTCATTACGAATGCAATTAATAAACAGATTTATAAATTTGTATAATTATATATAATCTAACAACAGGCTGTCACAGTTGGTCAAGTTAATTTAAAATATCATGTCCAATTATTATTTTTTGCAAGGAAAAAAGGTCAGTCTTTTAAATATAGTTGACRCAATGAACCCTCAAGTGTGTAAAAATAGATTTTAATTAACACATCTTTACTGCCAGGTGTTTCAATTTGTTAAAAAAAGTAAAAAAAAATGTTTTCGCACATTTAACAATTAGAGAATTACATTTTTAAGCATCAAACGTGAATTATGCACAGCTCAGACAGGTTTTTGTTGAAAACATACATTAACGTACATTAATTTTTAAATATGCAGAGAAGCTCAATTWAAAGGAGAATATCTTTTATTTGATTTGTTGCATGGGGCTGGGTTATGTGATAAAACTCATGTCGGGACTTTGAGGCTGCAGCTGCAACCTGTTAAATTCATCTAACAAGACTTYGTTTCGTCTGTAAATCGGCCTCATTCAAAATCTCCAAAGTTATTATTTTATTTATCGTTGGTCTAATCCAAGTATACATCAGGTTTCAAGCACAAAATGACATTTTAGCATCAATACTGGCAATGATGAAACTCAAGGAGAATAAACAAGTTGGCCAAGAAATATTTTTGGCTCATGTCCCTCTTTTGGCTCCAAAACAAATTAAACGAATCCAACTTTTGCAGCGCCAGTTAACTTTGTTAGCTTTGGAAAGAGTCAAACCTGTTTTATTTTATTTTTTCTCAACAAAAGATYTCATGCCAAGTTGTGGTAACTGGACACCTGTTCCATCATAATGAAGGAAGACAGAGAAAAAAAACTTACTGAATTTGTGTATGTGTGAGTTCTTCACAACTCATCCAAGTGAACTTAATAAATGACAGCATATTTTGGATCTTACCGTAGAAGTATTTTATCCATTCATTTTATTCACACTTCAGTGACAATATTCAATGGGTTGTATCAGTTCAGTAAATAAGGAMAATGCTATATTCATCTCTGTAACCGAGATTTGTGGTTATGAAACATAAACATTGAATTTTACAGTCAAGATGAAACAAACTAAAAATAAAAAGGGACTAACTTGTTTACTTGTTTTCATCTGCCATTAAAAATACATCAAATGTAAACTTTATCTAATTCTGCAACATTTCATCATTGCACAAATAATTTACCTCGTCTCGCTCCAGTAAGATGAGTCGAACGATCACAATGTTAATTGCATTTCCAATACTGGCGTCTTTGAACAGACCTGCCACCTGAAAGAAAARGAAGTAAAACATTTAACAAACACTCCAGGAGTGGATGCATGCATCCATTCAACTCTTTAAAAAGTTTATGTCAAGTTCCTCTGAGGTTTGAGTTTGATCTCAGGTATTATTGATTTAAAATCAGTCATTTTATGTTTTTACACACAAGGCATCCAAACAAAATGCTGTCTGTACTGTATATGTTGAGAGAGTGGTAATCCATCTTGATTAAAAGGGGACATATCATGCTTTCTAATCCTTTTTCACATTTAAATCATTCAGTTGGGGTCTATACTGGTTATGGTTATGGTATAAAACCCATGTGAGCAGGGGCCTCATAAGTGGGCCCATTACTCTCCCCAAAAGAGACACTGAGCTTTTAATCAAACCTCTGTGTCCTTGAAGGACACAGAGGTTTGATTAAAAGCTCAGTGTCTCTTTTGGGGAGA